ATCTATCTATCTATCTATCTATCTATCTATCTATCTATCTATCTATCACTTTATATGCACCAATTTATGGCTAATTCTCTATTTGTGTTTGATGCAATGCTTTTTGACTGAATGTCATCATTATGTACATGCTTAATCCATCTCTGCTTCTCCTTATTTCTTCTTTTTTTCTCTCTTTGTTAAGAGAATGGATAGGGAATTCTCCCGCCCCTGTCAGGAGATGCATCAGAGTTTATTGCAGCCTGCTTCCAGAGAGAGCTCATCTGTCTCTCTGCTCTTTGGTGGATGCTTCAGACCTCAATAGCACTCCAAATGCCAGGGACGACTCGGATAAACAACTTCACCAAATGACACATACAAGAGCTTTTTTTTTTCTTAACACTTTGAAATAATTTTAATGTGATAATTTAAGATATTTAGTAATGTCTTTGTCACCTATGAAAGTATCCATCAATAACAGAAGAGTGAGCGGAAAAAAGGTGTGAATAACAGCAGTGTGAGTGGATCTCACAGTGAAAGTATAACCACTCTATAATTTTCGAGCAAGCCCCCAAAAGACCTTTGTCACAGAATCCAATAATTGGAAAATCACAGCCAATTCTCTAAATGATCCCCAATACACCAAGGCAATTTTGCTGTACCTGAACACCAGCTACCCCAGCTTTTGAAATAGTCCCCTATTAGGACATTCAAAATCAGCAGTGAGACAGTCACGTGCTGTTACAATATGAAGTATAACCTCAGAATTTTCTTTGTTACATGAACTTTGTGGCTTTAACTGGGGGATGCTGTTAAATGGAAAATCAAAAACAAATATGTAATAAAGATGCTGCAGCTGTAGTTACTACTGCACAATGTAATCACAACTAATACTGATCGCAAAGATTTGTCGCTTTAGAGAAAATATTACATTGCTTTCATATACAGTATTATCATAAAGACATGAACAACACTCCTTAATATATAAATCACAAATAAACTCAAAGTAGTCCTTGTGCTTCAATAAATCTTTTCCCTCTAAGATATTTATGTATAGAGTTTTTATGTAATGTTTAAAACAAATATTTTTGGTTGGCTAATTGCAGATTTGATCAATCTTGCATCATGTCTTTGTAGCATACTTCTGAAGTCATATTAGAAGCAGGTAATATTTGATTTGTGTGTTCATTTTGCCTGTGAATAAAATCATACCAGTTTTTTTCTTGTGCTCCTCAGTAATAAGAAGTGTTTTTGTTTTTACAGCAAGTGTTGGTTGTCTTTTTGTACCATTGCGTAGTAGCCCTTCAGATAAATTATTGCGCATTTATGCGCATTTGTAACGCAGAATGACATGCCTGAAAATATACCTTTGACCTATCTACGATAGGACTGCGTTGGACCAATCGTTTTGCTCGTTGTTGAGAGGTAACCTAACTTCTCGGAGGTTCATACCTTCTCTCCAACATGGTGAGTTAATTCTCCTGAAAGAATACTTTATTGACAAAAATGTCTAGAGGGAATCTTTGCGAATTTGAAACAATTTTTTTTGTAATTTTTTGGTTAAAAGCTTTCTTCCCCTTCATCATGGAGTAACATGTTGCACGTCTAAGACCGCGAGTTAGCATGTGGTGATAGCATTGTGCTAATAAAGCGGCATATAGTCACTGTCATGGCTCAGGCTAAAACCTGGAAGAGATGCTTCATTGAAGAGATACTTTGAAATAATTACTACCCTGCTCTTTTTCAATTTAATGTCCGCCGGCACATGTAACACTGAAAAAAACAAATAACCAAATACGCAATTCGTTAGCCTGGTAAACTCTCGCGTTACTATTAAACTGTTGTTATCCAGTGTGTAGACCTAGCCAGTGGCCATTCATCCCGAACAGAAGGAATGAACAAGTCTGTGACTAGTTAAGCTGTGAGGATGGATTTTTGGTAATCCTTGTTTAATGTTTACATGGATTGAAGTTTAGTACAACGTGTGACCAAATCAATGAGCACGTTTTGCCACATCTCCATGCAATCAGTTTGAGTCGTTAGAAACTTACAGGGAAACACTTCTGTGGGTGAATCCTAAGAATGAATGAGATGGTACAGTTATATTTCTCATACAAATGTAAATATAGATATATCAAAGTGCAAAACACGAAAAATAAATGTACTCATTTTATTTTAGCACCAAAATGCAGATTAAGTATGTCAAATGGAAGGCTTTTGGGTATTCCATTTGAACCTTTTAAGTGTCAATGCGTTTTTTCTTAAGAGAAAATAAGTTATGTGGAAACAGTACTGAGGTAATGAATGTGTATAAAAATGCTAATGTATGTGGAAGTTTTTCTTATTTTAATTTTACTGTAATGTTGCTGTAATACCATATAATTTAACCTAACCTAACTTTCACATTTTAAAGATCTGGAATGTGGACTTTTTCCCGTAAAACAGGTTGCCAAATGCCCATTTCAAGCAGTGCTCTAACCATGTTTTTTCTCATTCATGCCAGTCTTCATCGGAGGCTAATAATGGCCCGAGCCAAGCGCCGACTTATCCAGGTGTCCCCCCTTCAACAATACCTCCCCCATATGTAAGTCACTGCCAGATACTTTCCTCATATTTTTCTGTTGATTTACTTTTACCAGCCACTTTCTATATCCTTGTGTGTTTTTAATTCTCTTTTCATTTGAATAGATGGGACCACCAGGGATACCACCGCACTTCCCACCCATGGGAATGCCCCCCATGGCACAGCGACCTCCCAGCATGACCCCTATGCCGCCTGGTATAATTCCTCCTGGCATAATGCCACCGATGGCAGCCCCTCCAATGGGACAGGTGTGTATGCTGAAAGTTCTCAGATCAGTTTCTGCTTCTCTGTCTGTAGCACCCACACCTATTTTTCTGGTTAGCATGAATAGTGACGACTGGATGTCGTTTGGCGTGGTGTATGATTCACAGATCACACCGGTGGAATCTGGCCCTTAAATAAGCTTATCACATTTGCCCAAATCCCGCCCCCCCCAGCCTTCTTAACAGACAGTCTCCCTTTCTCACAGTGTATCATAATGCTTCTGCCTGCTCTAAGTAATATGGAAATGTCAGATGGATATTTCATTATGTTTCTTTAATTAGATGCCTGCCATGCTGCCGCCCATGATGGCGGGGATGATGATGCCCCCTCGCATGCCAGCTGTGGCTGTCCAACCAACGGGACCGGTAACTCTCATCACTGTTCATTTATTTTTTGCCTCGACTTCACACGTCTTGAAAATACGCTGCAATCTGGCCGGTGGTAATTGAAGCATTTGCACAATCAAGTCTCTGTTTTGCTCGTAATGAATTGAAAAGAAAAGCTGCCTATTTCCATCCAAATTTGGAAAAGAAACAGCTTTGAAACACGACTGCCCTGGCTGAAATTAAAATGAACATCTGTGTGGACTTTAACTTTTGTTGTTCATGTTTTTGGCTTCAATTCAGCTGCTAATCACTTTGAATGGGGAGAAATGCTCGAGCCTCACCTTTTTTCTTTTTTTTTCTCCTTTTTTCCAGAGTTGTGAGCGATGAATGCAAATGCGTATAATTAAATGTTCTTGTGCCAACCCCCAGATGGGCTTAGAGATCATAAGACCCACTTAAGCAGCACAAATCTATTTTTGTTTTCCTTTTGGGGGTGTTGGTGCTATGTGTGAAATTAAAAATCCCTGACAGCCTTTTTTTAAAAGCAAATGTTTAGTCTCTTTCTAAGTTGACAATGTAAACGTTTTTAAGTGTTTGAATAAGTCACTAATGACATATCTTCTCCACAGCCTGGTGTTGACACCACAGGTAAGATCCTAAATTTGTGTGCTTCCTCATATGCTTTCTCATTCTTGATCATGGTTAGTACAGGTCCTGACTGATATTTATCTTCTTCCTGAACAGTTGCTGCTCCTGGAACCACTGTAAGTCTATCACAGTTTTCCTCATGCACAGCAACGGCCAAATTGCCAATTCTAACAACATTGACTTTCATTTACTCAATTTCTTTGCCTACTTCCCTCAAACTGGCTGCAGTGAGTCAAGATTTCATTTCTTTTTTTTCCCTGCAGAGCACCACAAATGGATCCCCACAGGAAGAACAGTCAAAGAAGGTTTTCAAACATTTAAAACTTAATGAATGTTGTGATGGAGTTGATACTTTTTTTTTTTTTTTAAGGAAACTGGAACCAAAAAATGTGAACAGCCAAATTACAATAAATGTGTTTTTTCTTTTCCTCAGAAGTCCCTGTGGACAGAGCACAAATCACTGGATGGGAAGACCTACTATTACAATACTGAGACAAAACAATCCACATGGGAGAAACCAGAGGATCTTAAATCTCCAGCAGAGGTACTAACTGTTTTCACTTGTATAATATGCTTCACTTCTGGTTAAGGAAGTACAGGGATTTATTTTTTAAATTGCATATTTCTATATATTTGCAAACATTCCAAATGCATTTGGAGCAATGTAAATGACAAGGGTGTAAATATCGGCCAGCATGAAACTAGATCAAAGCAAAGGTACAATAAACTAGTTTAAGGTCTGCTCCCACTTTTGAATATTGTCTGATTTACATTTTGCTGCACCTTATTTTTTTTGTTTATTTATTTCAACTGTATTATCACACACAAGATGAAATGCAAAGTGAGTATGGTTTTTATGCCATTATGTTGCTTATTGAGGACTTTTTTTAAAAATGTTCTCATGGAGTGACAGAGACTACTGATGTCATTTTGGAACATGACAAAGCTGCGGTTGCAAAAAGACATTTAATCCACAGTTGCATGCTGCCAGTCAGTCGTAGCCAAGTAAAGAATGAAGATAAACAACAGCAATAATCAACGATTCTTATGATTTGTTAGTGTTGTATCATCATATCTATTTAAATGCAGATGTCTATACCAGTTTCTATATGAAGTCCAGCTGAAAACGTATAATCCACATTAAGCAGATTTTACAAATGACATCGACTCCATTTGATCAATCTGGTATTTCATCTCTATTTTCCCCCCTTTTTTTGTTAGCAAATGCTGTCAAAATGCCCCTGGAAGGAGTACAAGTCAGACACAGGGAAGCCTTATTACTACAACTCTCAGACAAAGGAGTCTAGATGGACCAAACCCAAAGAGCTGGAGGATCTGGAAGGTAAAAGACCCGCTGGCTCATCATCTCTAGCTGAAGTGTTTGAAAGGCATGGGGCTGTCCCACACTGAGCCACTTATGGTCCTCCAACAGCCTGTCTGCTAGAATGCCTGTCTGCTAGAATGTTCAGCAAATGACAACATGCATGAATAGGTTTAGGATTCACTCATCTACAAATATCAGAAGCACATTGATCTCTGCGCTGACCTCTTATCTGCAGTCTGCTCTGCATCAACTTTAACTGTGTTCCCTTTATATCTATTTCAGCTATGATCAAAGCAGAGGAGAATGGGTAAGAGTTTACAGTTTACCCTCCACTGCCATCCAGTTTCCCCTTTTATTGTGAACAAACAATTATATTTGACATGACTAATGACTTATTTGGCGCCGGTATTTCTTATGTTCACGAGATGTGGCTTCATTACGCTTTGATTCCAGAACGGCAGACACGGCCGCTGCAGCCCAGGCAGTGCAAGCAGATATTACGGCCGCTATGGCGACCGTAATGGAGGTGGAAACTAAAGCAGCAGTCGTCTCAGAGGAGCAGCCGTCCCAGGCGACTCCGCATCAAACAGCTGAGGTGAAGGCTGCAGATGCACCTGTGGTGTCCTCGGAGAGCACAGTCGTCACCGAGAGCACACCCAGGTAAACAACGGCCGGCTTTAGTTTCAGGGGGAGAAAATCCCAGCCAAATCAAATAGATGATCTTTGTCAGCTGGCCTGCAGCGATGCTCATTTATTCAGATTGTTTTTAGCAGGAGATGCTGAGTCTATATATATGATTTATATATTTAGAAATTATTTATAATATGTTTTTGGAGAAACTCAACAGCAGCACGACTCTTAAAGTCGTGATCCTGGTTCTACAAACCATGTGGTCATGGCGTGTGTTCCTTCTTCTAAAGTAGAAAACATTTCTTCTGTACAGAAGAAAACATACAATTTTAGTTTGTCGGTGTAACTTTTTCCTGCTTTTTAAACTGGGTCATCGAATATATTTGATTCCTTTAAATGTCATATTTTGGTGTAAAAAGACACGCAGCAGCACTCGGCAATAAGTGCCGCATTGTTTGACATTGTTCATTTGTAAAGAAGTTTGTTTATTTATTTATTTTATTTATTTATTTTGCTTAGCTAGCTTGGCTGCTCCGCCAAAAGAGACATGATTAGTTGTTAAATGTCACAATCAGGAGCCCCAGATAATGAGCCACAGATATAGACGGTAATGTTAGTTTGTTTGACAGACAATAGTTCTAATTTTTCTGAGGGCCATCCACTTCCATTCTGTTGGAGGTTGATGAGTTCACACTGACGGAGTTCGCACTAACAGTGTTTAGAAAAATAAAGCAACACAAAGAATTGAAGTGAACTTTCTCTGAGACGGAGAACTAAGGGGAAGGTGCTGGGACTCTTCCTATTCTGAGGCACGCTTGCTTCTGCGGTACAATTTAATATTGTGTGCGAAGACTTGTTGAGACTGAATATAAATCAGTGGCTGAGATGATTAATAAATCCACTGTTAGCTGTTCACATTACCAACCACATTGATCTGATGCAGCTTCGCCAATCAGAGAGATGCGTCAGGACAACAGTTCGATAAACGGAAAGGGGCTTCAACAGGAAATTATAATATTATCAGACTGCTTCAGAGCAGTGGAAAGGGTCCACAAATATGCAGCTCGGCACAGATGGAGTTTGTTTTTTATTATTTAACTTGCGCAATAACGTTTGAAATAAATAAATAAAACCATTTGAAGACTTTTATGTGACTGCATCACTCAAAGCTATTTCAGTTTCATATCTGCTGTCGAGTCCTCTCACATCACAAATGGGCCCATCTTATTGTAAAATGTGAATCAGCCGCATTTACGTCATAATCCATTACAAGACTAAAACATGAAATTCTGCTTTGGCCGACAAAAAAGTTGGAAAAGAGCCAATGATTTTTTTTTCCTTTTTTCCCCCCCGAAGACAACAGAATGCCAGCAGAGCAGTCAAAACCATTTAGTACAGTTACTTTGTCCCAGCTTGGTGTCATGGAGGTAAACAGTAAGCAGAACAATCGCAGTTAATGAGAATGCACCCTGGCATTACTAACATTTAAGCTTGATTTATCTGCATAATTTAGAGTGGTGCTGCCTTTACATGGCTGCTGGGATCTAAGTGTGATGGGGTCATTCAGTGCCAGAAAGCGTCATTTCAGACTGTTTATGAGTTAAAGTACCTTTTTTAAATTGTGACTGACAATATGCATACTGTTGATGGTATCTGATGGGAGCGCATGCTGTTAGAAATCTACTGTAGTCATATTTTAAACACATAATTATGATTCAGGAATAAGTCCTCTCTTCTGTAATTTAATCTTTTGTTCCACCTGTGCAGTGCTCAGTATCCAAATGCTACAAAGCTGAGTTTTAAGGATCTGGATTTTAGTTTTAAATACTTGTGGACAAGAAATTCAGCCTTGCGGTGCCATTTTTAATGCAAAGTTATTCCTGATTTTGTTTCATCTTCTCAGTGTTGAAGTGACGAAAGAAGAGCCGCTGGAATTTCAGAAAAAAGTGTACAAATGGAACACAAAAGAGGAGGCCAAGCAGGCTTTCAAAGAGCTGCTGAAGGAGAAGGTGAGTCAGAATGCTGTGTTCTTCCTCAGTGCTGTTTTGATCATGTCTTTTTTCCCCCTCTTATATGTAGCATGATCTGTGTGAAATCAGATTAGAGAGGGAATATAAGGTGCTCTGCTGTTAAGTAAGGAGTCCGACATCTTTGGGGATACTTTGGTCTCCTCAGTCTCTGCTACTGTTAATGTCTGTGTCATTGCATGCTTTGCATTCAGATCCGGATCTAATCTCCACCCCGTTCTTTAGCCCTTGGGAGCTCCGTTAAGCCTCACCTCCTGTTGCTGTGGATGTGCTGTGTGTTTGGTTTTAAGGCAGCCGAGCACCACCTACCTCGCATGCAGCTATATTTAGGCGCTTTTTAATTTTGTGCACAAACCTCTCCTCTGAGATTGCTTGCCATTTCCTTCAAGATCTTAATGGCTCTGTCTTTATGATTAGCTTTATTAGATCACAGGCACGGGGCTGACTGGGATTAAGACAGTGAGAGAAAGTGGCATGCCTCAGTGAGTTAGAATAACTGTGACAAGTGACAGGACAGAGGCACGCTGTGGAATCAGTTCATAATGGATGAAGGAGCCACTCTCTGGGAGAGGCAAGTGGCAGAAAGGGCGCTTATATAAGTCTTTAGTGGTACTTCTTGAATTATTGCCACTCCACACCTCTTAACCCAACATCTTAGTCATTTAGAAAACTGTGTTGACTATGAGCAGCGAAAGCTCATTCTTTCTTACTGTGTAATTTGTGTTTTTTCCATAAAAAAAAACAATAATGAAGTCTTTGACTGTTATTTGAATTAATTAGAATTCTTGTATTCACGAAGACGTTTTGTTTACTCCATTGTGTTGCATCATTCTCTGTATTTTAGGGCGTATCATCAAACTCCTCCTGGGAGCAGGCCATGAAATTAATTATCAATGATCCCCGCTACAGGTAAAGTATCCCCAGGGGATTCTTTTTTCACTTTTTGTTTTTTTTAGCTTCACACTTGGTGAGAACAAAGCTTATCTGTGGCCTCGTGTTTTTCTAATCAACAGCGCACTTCCTAAACTGAGCGAAAAGAAGCAGGCATTCAATGCCTACAAAGTCCAAACCGAGAAGGAGGAAAAAGAGGAGGCCCGAATTAAATACAAGGAATCCAAGGAGACTTTTCAACGATATTTGGAGAACCATGACAAGATGACTTCTACTACTAGATATAAGTAAGTATTGTCATTAGATTGATTTGTGTTCCTCTGAACTGTCAGTTTGATTATGCAGAGTGGACCACTGAAAGGTCATCTATGGTCCTACATGCATCATGCAAACAAACAACTGTTAGGTTTTACTTTGCCTTGTCTGACCTGTTTGCGCTGTTCAGTCTGTTGTTGTGGAATGGGTTTCAGTCTCATAGATTTAAGATTTTTTCGATGAAAATGAAATAATTTTGTTTCCAGGGCCTCTTATCTGTGTTTTCTTTAACCATTTCCAGCAAAAGAGAGACTTGCATAAGTGCCCTGTATTTGTGAACATGGTGATATATGATGTGAATATGAAGAAATACTGCTTTTTTCTACTTTACTTTTCATTGTCGAAGGAGGATTCGTTCTTTTGGAAAACAAGTTGATAGTATTTTCAGTGTTATCTTTATGGTCCTTTGAGTTGCGTGTAACGTCCAGTTCTTTGGTTGAGCATACGGCTCAAAGTCACCATGACAGACCATCGACTGGTGACCTTGACAACCAGCCAGTTTCAGAGTTCTGCTGGCTCCAGCTTGTAATCTGTGATGACACACAACAGACAGTTGGCGAGTGATAGCAGAGCTTTCTGATGCTGAGAGCGTGTGTGTGTGTGTGTTTTTCCTTACGTTTACCTTGTTTGAATGCTTCTAATCTCAGCCACCGGCTCTCTAAACATTAAGGTTACGACATTAGTCGAGAGAGTGTTTTCCCTGAAGGAAAAACTGCTCTTTGAACAAGCTTGACTGTATTTCTTTAAGTTTCAATTAACATTAGGAGAGATTTATTTTAATTTTCCTCAAGTGTGCAACTGATAGCTGCAGCTGCCAGCGTGTGAGAGGTAAACTTGGGCTGTGAAATGCTGCCCCCGTGTGGGTTACTGTGTGAAAACACTGCTAAACACCTGTGTGTGTGTGTGTCTTTGTGTACTTGCAAACCAGGAAAGCAGAGCAGATGTTTTGCGAGCTGGAAGTGTGGAGTTGTGTTCCCGAGAGAGACCGACTAGAGATCTATGAGGATGTGTTGTTTTACCTGGCTAAAAAAGAGAAGGTAAGACTTTGTTTCACCGTGCGTCACACAGCTGGGATCAGCACAGTTTGTAACCCGGGGTTTCCATCTCTACCCCAGGAGCAAGCCAAGCAACTGAGGAAGAGGAACTGGGAAGCTCTGAAGAACATTCTGGACAACATGGCCAACGTCACATACCGGACCACCTGGTCTGAGGCCCAGCAGTACCTGCTGGACAACCCCACCTTTGCAGAGGATGAGGAGCTGCAGAGTACGGCGTCTTAAGCTGTTGTTTTTGTCTGTGTTGAAGGGTTTGCTGGCAGCTGTTAGCTCACCTGTGCTCTGAGAGCCACAGGCTCACATCTGTCAGCTCCCGTAAAAAAGGAGATATGCTCACCCTGTTAATTGTGATGTCTCCTTCTGAAAGACATGGATAAAGAGGACGCCCTCATTTGCTTTGAGGAGCACATCCGGGCTCTGGAGAAGGAGGAGGAGGAGGAGAAACAGAAGACTCTGCTCAGGGAAAGACGGCGGCAGCGCAAGAACCGAGAGTCCTTCCAGGTGAGAGGGGCCGTTCTGTCCCCCAGCTCAGGCCCCACACGCATGCAAGTACAACTCTTAAAAGACCAGCTTCACATTTTGACATTCTATCATCCTCAGAAATTCCTGGACGAGCTGCACGACCACGGGCAGCTTCACTCCATGTCTGCCTGGATGGAGATGTACCCGACCCTCAGCTCAGACATGCGCTTTGCCAACATGCTGGGCCAGCCTGGTAAGCCAGCGGGGCGCAGCACATGCGCCCGCACATGTCTGCAGTGCGCTCAGCGCTCTGAGGCACGTGCACGTGACAGCCAGACACTAGCACGGCATGAAGTCCCAGGCAAAATATCCACAGCTCCGGACAAATGCTGCAGCCACCCGCCTCCATTTTTCTTCATGAATTCAAACCTCATTTATTTTAAAACGCATTTCCTCTTGTTTACAGTTTAAAAGTCATCCTTCACATTTGATGTTTGCAGCTATGTTCTAATTTAAATGTGTCCATTTAAAGGTTCAACTCCTTTAGACCTCTTCAAATTCTACGTGGAGGACTTGAAAGCTCGTTACCACGACGAGAAAAGAATAATCAAAGACATTCTCAAGGTGAGGTTCTGACCATAGTATGTTTTTTTATTTGTTTGGTAGAATCTCGATTTGAACCTTTTCCTCAGAGCTGGGTTTTGGCTGTCCTACATTTCCAGTTGACATTTCTACAAGCTTTTGATCGGCCTCTCCTGGTCTCTCTGTTCTCAGGACAAGGGATTCCTGGTTGAGGTCAACACCAGTTTCGATGACTTTGGATCGGTCATCAGCTCAGACAAGAGAGCCACCACGCTGGATGCAGGGAACATAAAGCTGGCCTTCAACAGTGTAAGACTCGTGTTCTGCACGTTCAGTTTGGGAATCTCTGTCACTGGATGCAGTTTGTCAAACGATGGCAGTAAAACTAGATACTTTGGGCATAATGGAGTTTATTGAAGAGTTTTAGTTCATTATCAGCCGTCATCAAACTACAGTTGTTTTTTTTATGCTTGCATCCCTTTTGGCCTCATACGAAATAAATCAGAATGTAAAATGCTTACAGTTATGACTGGCGTTTGACTTTGTAGAGTAATAAAGAAAATAGCAGGTCTTACGATTCGGTTGTAAACACTCCTGTTACTTTCACGGCCCGTGTATGGAACTGAACGTCTGTATTTCACACCTCTTTCTGAATAGCTGCTGGAAAAGGCAGAAGCCAGAGAGAGAGAGCGAGAGAAGGAGGAGGCTCGAAAGATGAAAAGAAAAGAGGCAGCTTTCAAGAATATGCTTAAGCAGGCCACGCCGCCCCTGGAGCCCGAGGCTTCCTGGGAGGGAGTACGTATCTGTGGCTGCATTTGCCTCATCCACCCCCCACAATCATTCCTGAATGTCCTTAAAGGTTTCTGATGGCTGACATTTGACTATTTCAGGTGAGAGACAGATTCCTAAAGGAACCCGCCTTTGAAGATGTGACGCTGGAGTCAGAGAGGAAAAGAATATTCAAAGATTTCATGCACGTGTTAGAGGTAAGGCTGTCTCAACAGCAGCACAGCCACCCCAGGAACCAGTGATGGTGCGGTTTAGAGGCTTACAGTTTTGTTCTTTTCCCCGAAGCATGAGTGCCAACATCACCACTCCAAGACAAAGAAGCATTCAAAGAAGTCCAAGAAGCATCACAGGAAACGCTCCCGCTCTCGATCGGTGAGTATCTGGACGAGAGGGGAAGCTGTCCGTTAAAGCCACCGGTCTCCATTCCCCCTCTGCTCCGTCCCAACAGGGCTCCGAGTCCGAGGAAGACGAGTACCATAAGAAGAAGAAGAGGTCCCAGTCCAAGTCTCCCTCCGAACGCTCCTCCAGCGGAGAGTCTGGTGAGGGCCGCTCACGCCGCCAGCCTCCTCAGTCCAGCTCCACCTGCATTTACTGACCAATTTCTGCCCCAAAACAGAGAGAAGCTACAAGAAATCCAAGAAGCACAAGAAAAAGGGCAAGAAAAGACGCCACAAGTCTGTAAGTACAGCGCCGTGTGCACGCAGAGCATAATTCCCCCGAGCGCCTGATGTTTGACTGTAACCGTGGCAACCAGGCCTCCCCCGACACCGACGGCGAGAAGAAGGGCAGAGAGCGCGACGGGAAGCGCGAGAAGGACGCAGAAAAGGACAAAGAGAACGACAAATCATCCCGGGGCAAGTCTCGCTCGGAGTCCAAGCAGAAATCCCCCAAAAGAAAAGCGGCCAAAGAGGAGGTGAATGTTGTCCCTCAGTGCTATCTCTCTCTAGGGAAGGCAGGGTTGTAGGAAAAGAGGAGCAGCAGTCAGAGCAGCCGGCTGTGTGCCGACACCGTCAGTGCAACAGTTCCATGTGGTGAATCTGTGTTTGTGATCAGGGCGGCTGGGATACGTCAGGCAGCGAGCTGAGCGAGGGCGAGCTGGAGAAAAGAAGAAGAACGCTGCTGGAGCAGCTGGATGCGCCCTGATTTTAAACCTCTGTTCTTTCACGTCTCCACAAACACGCATTCCCCGCAGGCCCGTTTGACCATGCAGGTCGCCCTCCGTGGACTGAGAAAGCATCTCTTACTAGTATTTCCGAAATCCTACTTAAACTCTTCTTTCACTCTTCTTTTGTGACTAATTTGATGTGAGGAACCTGATCAGCGGGTGAGCGTCCAGCTGTTGTTAGCGTCCAATCTTTTGTTTAGTTGGCTGTAGTAGTACATGTTTGGCCTTGCCGTTAGTTTTTCTTCTTAATTGAAGCATATCTTCACGTCACACGGACTGTCTTTACAAGAACAGTTTAATGAAACTTCACCACAGCTGCATTCTCGAGGAAAGAATAAAAGGGGTTTTAATCGGTGGCTTTTTTTGTTTTTTTAAGTAATAAAATATCTACCAGTGGATAATGTCTGATGAGTCAGTGGCAGCATTTGTGGTTTGACTTTTCTTTTACTTGCCTTTCCGTGTCCTTAAAATATCCCCGTCACATGGTGCCGTTTTGCTAAATGTAAGAATAACCAGAAAAAACATTTTTCAAATAGATTAGCCTTTAGCAAGGACGGCTAATTGGTGGAGATGTCATCGTGTTTCGAGCATGACCAATATCTCCCCAATAAGTGAAGAGCCTGCGTCTGCATGTCTGCTCTGATAACCGTCCAGTCTGGCTGTGAGGACGGCTGAATGAAAGATGGACTCGTTTTTGGGAGGACTGTTTTGCACCCTTACTGCAGGCACGATTTGTGACTTCACAGTTCAAAAAACACAAGTGTCACAGTGAGTACTTCTGGGTTCGGTTGAATAGTCTTTTCTCTTTTTTTTGGTCTTTTTTTGACTGAGGACGGTCGAGTCCAGTTGCTAAATAAAAGAGCTTTACTGCTTTCTTCATTTTTCTTTGGTTTGATTGCATTGATCAGCTGTAATGTAAAGAGGACACCTGTAATGAAGTCTGTTTCTGACGTTTGGAATTATCCCGTTTCATATATCAGTACTACACCAAAGACAGCAGCACAGTGTTGAGTGGATTCAGCTGTAACATAACAGATTTAATCCTCTTTTCTTATCCTAAATGAGCAACATCTTCACCATCTGGATTTAGTTAGAGTAAATAATGTGGGGGTTGCTTCAGTTAATCAGATCTGGGCACAGCAATGTTATGCTTAAGGATCCATTAGGCTCAAATTGAGCATAAGGCATCTTTTCTTAGAGATGGATTTTCCACTACAGAGTCTAGATGTTAAGCACATTAGAACCTTTGGAAAGTATCCCAGCTCTTTCATTACAACTACAAAACCTTGTCGAAGTACTCAACATGACATGTAACATAACACCTAACTGACAACACCAGGGTGGATATGGGGTGTAATCAAAGCTGGATGGGTTTTATGTATTCATTCCTACTATTTAACCACATATGAAAACACAAACTGAGTTCAAATGCAAAGTCATGGCTATTGTTGATGTAGTTTGCTTAAAAAAAATGGGGGAAAAAACCTTCAAGAAATGCAAAAAGAAAAGGTTTATCTACATGAGCCAACTAAATAAAACACAATCTTATAATTAATGTAAATAGTTTATTATATTTGTTGAAAATCTCATATCACCTAATTTCAAAAAGCTTGTTACTTTTCCTTTTAACTGACAAAGTGTCCAAAACATGTCTGGTGAGAGGAACAGTTTTTAGGAAGGAAAAAAAAGGACAAAAAAAAATAGCATGCCAGTCTTATTCAGTCCGAGACGCCACGTAATCAGAGTGAAGTCGAGAGAAAAGAAGCTGAGTGGCTTCACGTGCTTCAGTGGGAGTGAGAGGGTGGAATACTAAGCCTCAGTGCGCTGGACAGGTCAGCTGGTAGCTTTTCTGGTCGTGCGGTCACATCGGTGACCAGTCAGAAGACTTTAGGGACAGTGATGCGCCGGAAACCCTCCGCTCATCCCACCCCGCTCTCATTCAACACCACCGCATCATCCGGCTGCATTTGGCTTCATTAAATATACAAAATGGAAACAAAAACTATAAGTTAAACATTCAAGTTGTATAGCACAAGGCATTGACAAGTTGTTTAAACAATATGTACAATATCAACCATACAGTTTTGTAAGTGGAGTAAAAACTTTTAAAAAAAAAAGAAAAACAGGAAACAGTTTGTAGCAAAATATTTATACAATGAAACTCTGCGTTGTGTAGTTTTGTCACGTTTTTAATATTACTATGGACACGTGATGGAAAAAAAAAAAGAGCTTCAATGAATCTGTTCAGTGGTTAAATACTATACATTACAGTAAACTGAGTGGACACAGAAGCCTCGATTATTACCAATTTGTAAAAAGTGAAGATCCACTACATAGTTATGTCCAGTTTTAAGGATAAGATCATCTGTTATTGGTGCTGTCTGGAATACCATGCAATTTTAAAATGTCACAGAAAAAGTGTTATGTTGCCCAACAGGCTCATTTATTCAGCTCCATTTGTTCCCCTTAACCACAGAAGCGACTGTTCATCAACAACAAATGCTTTTTCTTTTTTCTTCAAAATTTAGTTTTAACTCAACTATAAGTATGACGATAACTGCAATAAATACAATTCACATTAGACTGCATTTTCCCATTTTTTCTTACTGTAACTAGTGGAGCTTAAATCATTTCTTGATTCTTTTTTGTCCTCATTAGCCCTTTCAATAATGGGAATGCTCATGAGATGTTTAAAAGAAAAAAAAAACTGTTTAGGTTGCGGATATGTTTGTAAAAGAGCACAGGAATGTAACAAGATACCACAAATGTGTCAAACTTGTCGCTAAGAGATGTAACACTTGTAACAGCTTAAGGGAGCACGTCCCATACATTCTACTCGGGCGTTCCGGGGTAACATCTTCTCACGTGGCTCTTAAGGCCGCTGCATGTCCAGTTTAACGCACGTCTCAACATTAAAGCCAGGTCAAAGTCGTATTGCTTTAAGTGGTGTTACTACAAAAATAGTCAGACAAACAGAAGACAAGATCAGAAAATAAGTTCAGGCACTTGGCTTGTCTACAGGTCTTTGATTCCACGCCTAAGACACTTCAGATCCAGTCGGGCGCTCACGCCCCCCCGCCGGCGTCCGTCTCTGTGAGCGGCGTCCTCCCCAGCACAGACTCGCTCTTCCTTTGTAACATATACATGTATATGCATATATATAGATCCACAAAGTCCCTTCCGTGGTTTGCTACAAACTCTTCCTCGTCGTTCTGCATCAGACTTTCGGTCCATCCACCTTTTTGACATTTCCAGCCTCCCCCCCCCCCCTTCCTGCACATACAATGTTCCCTCGTCACATGACCACCTCGCCGTTGTTCATCGGCCGCAGGTTCTGGTCATCATAACGTCTCCTAACGCTCCTCCGTACGGCGTCGGCTCTCCTGTAAGGCTGATTCCTTAGATCTGGGGGGGTAAAGAAGGGATGGGGTGGGGACAGAGAGCGGTCAGCGGGCGTGCTGGGGGGTGTTGGTGAGCCCACCCGTTCAGGATTGCTGGCAGCCTATCTTCCAAAGCAGTATGAGGTCTGTACTTGCACACGTACAACAAAGACTAAAGCAAACGGGCCTACAGGGCAACGGGCCTACAGGGCAGCCCCCCCACCCCCCTCCGGTTAGCCTCTGCGTGACTTCTAGAAAACGTCGGTGCATCTTGTGAAAGCAAAATGCATCTAAAAAAAGCGAGCTAGTCATTGTCAAAGTGCTTTCTAAGATGGTCCACTTCTAAGAAAATAAAGGGATGGGGAGGGTCAATAAAGAGCATGCCCTAGCATGAAAAGAGAGTCAAAAACGGAAAAGGAGGTAATAAAGAAATGCTTGCCAGGTTTGGGACACATCCACCACTACAGGGGTGCTACTGGAGGACTTCCTTACCCTCAAGTAGACATTGGGAAATTTAGTAATATTATTCTTCTTTAGGGCTGGATGAAGAGAAAACAAAGTGAGGGTTACAAATGGAGGAGGTGGCTGACCAGAGCGTGTCAGCCTAACATGTTCAGGGTGGCTTTGCTGTGGCAGAGCGGCGGCAGCAGAGCAGAGTGGCAGTAGGCTGCATGTGGAAATCTTGTTAAGAGAGGACAGAGCTACCAGACGTTAGTCAACTGGTTCAACTCCCCCCGTCAGAATAAAAGCCCCTTTGTTTCGTTTTGATTTTTTCTTTGTTGTTACCGAACCCAGACTGCTTTGCAAAGTGGCTACCAGCAGAACAGAAGATGAGCCCGGGTGAAACCTCCCGTCTCAGAGCAACTATCAACACAGAGATGACTCCAAGCAGCACTACGTCAATGATAAACAAAGCATGCAAGCAGCCGGGGGGAAAAACTAGTTAAGAAGCACGGAAATGATGGACCTCATTCAGCTGAACAACCTGCTGGCATGTGAGTAGCAGACACACACACACGCACACACACACACACACACACACACACACGCTTCTGTAAGGTAACCGGTTACACATGCACCCACGCCATGCAGAATGCAAAAGAGCCTGGTGGAGTTGAAGAGGTCACCCCGCAGAGGGGGGCGAGCCCAGCATGTCAGCTAACAGAAAGAGGAAGGGGTGCATTGTGGGAAAGCAGCGAGGCTGTAGCGATCAGCATGCGGGAAACTTTATCAGCAGTAGTGATCATATGTGACAGTGGACACACATATATACGTTTTCTCTTATCAGAAACAGACTGAAAAACACACAAAAAAAGCAAGTGATAATGCCACAGGCATTTACGCGTCGTAGTATTAGTCATACCTGAGCTGCAGGCGTTTGCTGAAGCTTGTATATACTGTATGTGCTACTGTATATTACAAGATGGACGGCAACATGCTGTCCACATGGAAAAACTGACAGCAAGTCAGATGATGGGGACCTTTCCTCATTGGGAGTTTTTAAACTGCGGACACTAGATGGCAGCACCTTGCCTGACTGAATCTAGCTGAGGAAAAGTTTCCTCCTCGATAAACAGCTCTCTCTGTGACATTATGGTTTGCCGTGGTTGATAAAAACATAAATAAAACTGAAAAGAAAAAAAAAAAAGGTAAACGTGGGTCACAGTTCATGCAGGTGGACAGAAAAAAAAAACATTACACCAACACCTTCTCATGCTCAGGGAGGGAGATAAAGGCGTTCGGGCACGTGTGAGTGCACGTCTGCAGTGTGAGACTTGTGCTTAACAGTTAAAAGAGGGAGTGTGAATCGGCATGCAAGGGGTGGAAAGACATAAAGAAGAGAACGCTTTGTTCTGGCAACCTTTGAGAAGAGAGACATTTCTATAAGCTTAGTAATGGTACTCCTCATTGAGAGCGGACTCGCAGAAGAACCGAGAGCCCCGCTTGGCCGTGCGGGCGGTAAAGGGCACGGTCTTCAGCACTGCATTGAGAACAACAGGGACAACAGCCAAGACAAAATAAGACAAACACAATATGAGAAGAGCAGACCTCTGCAGGGTTTAGCACTGGTTTGAAAATACCCAACAAACAGCATCCGGGGTCTGGGGGAATGGAGGGTTTTGGGAAAAGAAATCCTACAGCCCAATTTCCAAAAAGGTTTACTGATAAAAACAGAATGCAATTATTTTGCATCAAAAAGTCAGAGAAAATGGAAGTAAATAAAACATCATGGACACAGCGTTTCTTCAAAGACTATTTATAGAATTTAATACTGGGAACACTGGGAAAAATGAGCTGGTCTAAGGAGCAAGAGTTGCATCGCCTCTCGTGAGCTTTAACTCAGTTTTCCACACTTTAAAACTAAACCAAGCCCAGAGGACGTGACCGGTTTTAACTCTTGTGTATTTTGTTTCCCACAGAAACTTCCTTTCTATTCAATGTTTTGAGGTTTTTACTGTCAAAACATGTCTACTGACGTATGCACTCATTCAAATTCCTATTTCATTCCTTCTTTCTCACAATAGAACGAAGAAAAGCGGCCTTCGTTCTATTATCAAATCATGGCATTCTGTTTTTATCCTTGCATCCTAACCTCTTTGAAAATTGGGTTGTACAATTTAAAGCTCCACTGAAGGGCTGGAAGAAAAGAAAACCCTTTGGGCTGAACTCTGTAGTTTAGTCCGTTTAATGCCAACAGGTCTATTGTTACTCAGATCATCCTCCTGTTTATGCTAACGTGTCATTAGGTGTGTCAATGCTAACGCTTACAGCTACCTCATTATTAGAAAACTGTGTATAATTCATACACGATTAGGCAGAGTGCTTTCAGATCCACTGCATTTTATGCCTCATATGTTACACATTAGTTTCCCATTAGAGAGAGCTTCTAACAACTGCTTTCCAACTGGAGGCAGAATGAAATTTGGATGGGTATAAGTGTGTAACAGCAAGTTTGGTTTAGTAAATTAACCTATTTTGTTACACTTCCTAATCCCTAGTTTCATGTCCCCGCAGTTAGAAAACAGTTTATTGTATTCCCTTGTGGTACTTTGGGAGATGGTCATATCCCGGCCCCAAATGTGCAGGCAGCATTACAAAGCAAAGATAAAGCAGATAGGCAATGATCATAAGACACCTTTTAGTGGAGAGACACTGGATCAGATGTTTGGTCAAACTTTGGTTCAAAAGCTGAATTTTCAAAGGCCTGAAGTGGCTGTGTTAGTTGGTTTAGAACCCCTTTGTTAAAGGCTAGATTCACAGCAAGAGAGAACCTCATGCAGAGCACAAAGTATGTGTGTGTGTGTGTCTGTGTGTGTGACATCAAGTGTCATCCGGGTTCACAGGGTATGTTACCCGTGATGATGTCCTCAATGGCTCCGTCTTTGCCTTCGTAGACATGTCGGCTGTCTTTCACCTGTTTCCTCCTCAGCTCCTGGATCAGCTCTTGCTGCTGCCGCTTGGTCTTATGGGAGGGAGACTGAGGGGGGAACACACACCGTAAAAAAAGTTATCCGACTTATAAGTTATCTCAAGTAGAATTTTTGGTTTTGTCTTCCATAATGACATTCGTTCTTGGGAGTTAATTAAATAATGAGTGAACCTGAGCTGATGTGGCTCAGCAGGGTTTCAGAATGTAAGAACCAGATAGGAGTGTGCCCAGCAGGCAGCTGGTGCCTAGCTAATCCGCTGATCAGGAGACTGGAGGAAGATAGGATGAAGCGGAAGGGGAGGAAGTGGAGCCGCTTACCTTTCGGGCATTATTATCCTCTGGAAAAGCGGGGCGGAGAAAAAGAGGCGAGGCGGAGAGTTCAGAAAGGAAATCAACTTACCTTCTGGTCTTCCTCCATCATGGCCTCTTGCTCCAGAAGTTTCTCCATCATAATCTGCTCCTGTCTCTTCCTCTGCTGATTGTCCTCCTCCGCTTGCTGAAGAGATCAGACATTAAATCGGCTGATACGCAACAGCAAGTTTTCACATTACGAAAGAAAAGATTTATCTGTTATTAAGGTGAATAAACAAAAAAAAGTCTTTGATTCGAACAATGGTGGTCAAACTACTGCTTCATCCATCTGAAACTGAAAAAAGGAGGCTGCAGACTCCAGCCACGGGCCGGGGCTCTTGACCTGTTCTGGTGTTGTACCTCATGTGTGAAACTGGATCATTCTTCAATCTGCGGCGAGATGAGCGCAAACTCACCCTGTAAGCCTTTACGAACCGCACGAACACGGGGAAGAAAACGGACGGAGGAGTGGTTTTGGAGTTCTCCCCGAAAAACTTCACCACTTCATCAAAGGCATCCTTTTTTTAAAAGAAAAAAAAAAGAAAAAGAAATAATGAATATTACTTGGATATCCCTCAGATGACCCGTTTGACCAGGAGGAGTCGTTCTCATCCCCCGTTACCTGTGCAATCTTGGCATCGTCGTGCAGCTTTTTCAGCTTGCTCTCGTTGTGTGCGATGAAGTCTTTGAGCATGGTGTTGTGACCGTGCATGCTGTACTCCCTCTTGGTCAGCTCCATGCCTCTCTGCAGCTCCTTGACATCCAGCAAGACGTTGTCCAGCGACACTGCGAAACCAAAGAGTGGTGCACACACGGTCAGTGAACAGGTCGGTGGGCAGGAAGTTTGGGGGGTGGCTCTCGTGTTCCGCACTCACCTGCCGCAGCTTTTTCCACATAGTGCAGCTCGTTGTAGAAGAGAGAAACCTGTGCATACTTCTCCTTCACCACGTTGGCGATGTAGTGCAGCAGCGTTAGCTTGCGGTCTGTTGACTTGGTGTCAAGTAACTGTGAGGAAAGTGAAAGAAAAAGCAAATGTTCAGTGGTGCAGAAGAAGAAGAAAACACTTTTTTTTGTTGGAGGGGGCTGGTTGCGCAACTCACCAAGTCCAAACTTTGCAGCTTGAATCCGTACACTGCTCCTCTTTTGCTGCTGTTCATGTAGTTTCCAAGCGCCAAAATAATCTGCAGAACAGGAGTGAAACAAAAAAGATACAGAAAGCCATGTACTCTTTGGTATTCTGTTCAGTCTAAAGGCAAACCCTTCACTTACCTCTAAGATCTTCTTGAGCTTCTGGGATGACTTGATGGACACAGACGCCGCAATGACAGCGTGAAGTTGCTGCGGGAGAGTGAAGAGTTTAATTAATTGTTTTTAGGGAAGTAAACCCATCTGGAGCCACCAAGAGTACGACGGCGCTCACCGGCGTGAGCATCTGCACGCTCTCGCTGAAGTTGCCGATGAAGGCCATGATGGTCATCTTCTGCATGAGCCGCTCGATCTTGCTGAACTGCATCATGAAGCGGTCTTCGTCCGTCAAGCTCTCCAGGGGCTTCCGCTCCTTCTCGAACTGACGCAGGACTTTGATCTCGCTCTCGGTGGGCTGGAAGCGCATCAGGCACTCCACGAAGTCCACAGGAAGGGTCCGAAGATCAAATCTGGAGGAAAAGGAGACACGGAACGAAAAAGATGAGACACGCAACACACTGGAAGCTTAAAGCTTATGGAACAAAATTATTATTGCTTTGCATTAGAAAAAAAAAAAAAAAGGCAATGAAACCAGAGCCTTGCTTTTTGCTTTTGTCTAAAGGCTTACATCTGAATGGCCTTGCAGATCTCCTCAGATGTCTTGCCCACTTTCCTCAGTGTGATGGCCAGGTTCTTTGCCCTGTTGGAGTCCAGCAGAGTCACCTTGTTGGGTATCTTCTGGATGACTTTCTGCTTGCTGGAGGTGAGTTCCATCGATGGGCCCTGTGCTTTCGTCTTAAACATCTCCTCAAACTCATCAACATTGAGGTCCTAAAAGGAAGCAAGGATTCATTGTTATTTCTAAGAACTGAACAAGAAATGGAAAAATTCATTCTAAATGGGAGGAGAATTTAACCTCGAGTATCCTCTCGTCGTCGATCTCGTTGAAAACGGTCCCGTTGATTTGATTTGGTTTCAGGGCCACCCAGTTAAAGACGGGCATGCGGAATTTCGTCTTGATCGGTTTCTTGATCTTAACGGCTAAACGACATAAAAGAAAGTTAGCAGAGTATCCTTTTTTTAACATCAGAGTGCGCAAACATTCATTAACATACATGCAGGAGAGGGGAGTGAAAGACATCTGGGACTGGCAACACAGGAACTAAACGATTGAACCCAACATGTATAACTCTTTCAGACAAAACAGAGGGGACACTTTTATAAGTGGGCCGGAGCCTCTCCGCCTCCTGGCAGCGGAATGAGGCCAAAGGCCACACGAGTTCGCTAAATGGTGCGGCTTGTGAGGATTACCTGCCAGGCCTGGGGACAAACTATTTATTGGGCAGATTAAAGCTATTTGGAGCCACCGGAGCTGATTCAGTGAGGCCGAACATTGACGCGGCGCCCGGCGCTGGCGCACAGACGAGGTGTCAGCGGGGACAGTGAGATAAAGCTGTCATGGGAAAGGTAAACGGCATTCCAGCTCGGCACGGCTCCTATCACTTAAATCATATGCGTGCCGCTGCAGGTCACCGAGTCTCAGCATGCAACTGTCGCTCTGAAATGTGGCAACACGTCATCGACGTAAAACACACAGTCACAAAACCGCAGCAAGGTGAGAAGGCGGGACATGCAAGGGTTTGAAATGTGGCATTTCCTTTATCTGAAATCATGTAACGTTTTACAGCACATCCTACAAAGTAAGTGAAAACTGCACTGATGGAGAGAGGTTTTTACTGACTTTTAAAGACGACTTTTTTTATTTTGGTTAAACTATTTCATTGTGAAATATTTGAGGACCCTGTCAACCTGTAACTATGCATATTTAGGCAGTAATCAGATGTCATACTCCCAATGTTGCTGCTACCAAAGAGAGGAAACAAGAGTTAAAAGGAGGATGAAAATATTTGAGAGGAAAGTGAAAAGAATCACCAATCACAGAGGAGCCTGAATTAAACATTAGCTTCCTCTCTTGATTTCAAATGAAAATACCACTTTCAACAGTTATGGAACGTGGGGGGGTGGGGACAAAAGGGGGAAGACACAACATCCAACGGGACAGGCAAAACCTACAGAACAGTTTGATGGGTCCCTCTGGTTGGCAGAGAAAGGGAACAATTCAAAGTCATATTCAGAAGTGGCATATTGATTACACACGCACATCTCAAACACACTGAAGACAAAATCCATGGAGTGGTAAAACCAGCATTAATCATCACTGTCTTTGAATGAGCAGCTTCAGGATTCTCAGGGCTGTATGCTTCATCGAACAGTAAAAGTGTTTTATAAAAAATTGCCCGCAGCTACATTAAGGACAGGCTTATCTGGTTAGAGCTTATTCAGAGTCTGTAACTGTGATTTAACAGAGCTAATCATAAGCACGAGCGAGCCTGAAGGTAAGAGTAAAGCATTTTCATTCATAAAAATGGCCAAACTAAAGACTCAGAAAAGAAAAGGGGATGTCTTATGGTTGAATATCTGGAAAGATATTTTTTGTAAACCATGTTTCTGAATGAAAAGGGCAAAACAAAATTAACATTAGGGGGTTTACTACAATGAGGAGTCTTCAGGTCACACCAGACCAGCATTAATAGTCCCTGGCACAGACTCAGACACAAATCTACAACTCTGGAGGGTTTAAAACCATCACTACAAATTGGAAATCGTACAGAACTGTTTTGAGCCATTCCTAAACAAGAGTGTCTGGCTCACTGAAAGCTAATTGTAAAGAAATAGGTGATGGGCAATGTTGAGTGCTGCAGATCTAAAACGTTGACATTAGGCTAAAACCGCTAACCTGCTAATCCGGAATTCATGATCACAGTGGGCGTCCCACATCCAGGCAGTGGTGGGGCCACTGGAGGAGGTGGAGGAGGCAGAGGGGCTGATACATCTGAGGCCAGTCCTGGGGGCGGAGGGGGAGGTGGAGGGGGTGGTGGAGGGGGAGGAGGAGGGGCAGCTGCTGCATGAACTGCTGATGATGGTCCGTTTGGCACTAGGAGAGCAGATAAGAGATAAAAACTGTTACTGATCAGTCATCAGGGTTTCCAGCCAAGTTTTTCCAAACTAGTAGGAGCCTACATGTGCCGTTCACTGGCAGAGGAGGGGGTGGGGGAGGTGGTGGGGGCGGAAGAGGCGTGCAATCTGCAACTCCCGCATGGCTCAGACCAGCAGCAGCACCACTTCCCCCCGTCGTGGCACCCATTAAACCCTCCAACCCTGGGGGCTGGGTAGGCAGGATTGAGATGTCCCCGTCTTTCTTCTTGTGGATCTTGATAGTGCCCTGCTTTTCCAGTTCATGGATCTTCTTCTCCAGGTTACTCTGTCGCTGGATGGCTTCGTCCTTCTCCTTCAGCATCTGCCGCAGTGAGTGAACCTGGGAGCTGGTGTCTTTGTAGACTTCCTGTTTGGGAAGAAATAAAAGTCAGACATTAATCTGAAAACTCAGGGGAACCAAAGCACGTGATGAACAGAGCATGATATGCACACGGCTATGATACTTGTTTCATGAGTGTATTGAAACCTGATATTTATCAAGAAACAAGCTAAGTTATAGGTGTTGGAGTAAGTCTGACCCTGATGGATTCAAGGTCCTTGTTCCTTTGCATCAGCTGCTTCTCCAGCTCCACGATCTTCGCCATGGCCTCATTCTCCATGTCCTGCAGCTTCTCTGTCATCTGTGAGAACGGCATCCATGAGAAAAGGCGACAGGGTGAGATGAGCTTATTGCACTGAAAGCATCCAACTCAATGTGCCACAGAGACCCTATGGCGTTAGGTAAAAGCATTCAGGAAGTTCGTGATTCTGTCTCATAGCATCAACAAACACTTAGTTGAATATATTTAAGTTTCTGGAGCGTGAATCTCTTTTTATTGGCTGGCAAATGAGATCCCAGTTGAGCCCAGAAGAAGGTGACTGTTCTCTGCCTTTAATTTGCTACGACATCAACTCTCCAAAGTAAATATACATCCCTTTTACGTGAGATGGGAAATAAGACTATTCAGTCAGTTTCAGAGAGCAAAATCAACACCCGAGAGCTCTTACATGCGACATGTTCTCCTCCAGCTCCTCCACTCGCTCCAGGGCAGCATTTTTGGTCTCTGCATCCTCCAGTAGGGCTCCCACGTCAAACACATTATCTAAGTAGGCCTGGATTTGGACCTGAAGCTTATCGCTCTCAGTGTGCTTAAGTTTCTGGAAAACAGACACAAAAAGCAAGTGAGGGAGGTGTGTTTTTTTTTTTTTCCCTGCTCATTACATAAGTGCAGCATAGATCTCAACATCACGCAACAGAAGAGCAGGATCCACAAATATGAACTACAGCTACTGAATCTGAACCCAGTGTACAGATAAATGAGTGACAGTTAATATTCAGACTCACATCCAAGTAGTCATCCAAACATAACTTGGTGAAGTCGAACTGCAGATGGACTCTGAAGTTCATGTCCTCCACTGAGTGGACCACAATGTTGATGAACTGCATGCATGCCACCTTGGGAATAAAACAGGCAGAATAAAGTCAGAATCCGATACCTAGCATAAACCTGATTTTCAAAAGTCTGTCTCTTCTGTGTGACTGTCTGCTGCTGCTGTGATTTAGTTTTAATGCTCATTTAGCTGTTTGTTCCTTTTAATGTCAACTCCACTAAAACCCTGCATGCAAACCGGTTTTATTCAGCAGACAGAATAACCTATCAATGATTAAAATTAACTGAAATATTCACTTTAAAATATCAGTTGAGGGGAAATGGCTGCCTTGTGAGGATTTGCATGAACAGATTGAGAAGGATCTCTTCAGAGTTGATCCACACTCACATCTCTTCATATAAAAAAATGACTCCACCTAGTTTCGAGAAGAGGATCACTTGTTACCGTATGCCGGCAGCTTGACAAAGTCGGTTTGCATTTGTGCGTCTGTCAGGCAGAAGCCTACAGAGCGACATTAACAGAGGATTGATTCAAAGTCCTCATGAGGGCCTCCTCAAACACAGAATTAATTGGCTCTCGCTTTATTATTTTTATGTAATAGATAAAAATCTTGAAGAAGTTGTGACTGTCTTAATTTTATACACCTACAGTCCTTTTGGAAAAGGAGCTAAATTATTTGTAAGCCCCTCACATTTTTCTTTAATCCCGGCCGGTTCTTTATTGCTCCCTTTTGCAACTGCCTAACTCACAGAGTGCAACCCAATTCCCTTTCTCAAACCTCCTGGCAGTAGTGAATCATTAACTGGGAGCACATTCAGTATGGTCCCCTTGAGCTTAAAAGGCTTCACAAGCCATCTCCGGTGACAGGGTTTTTGAGGGAGTGCAGCACAATCAATAGCAATTAGGACTGTGTATGAGCTTACCATGAAGTCAATGTTGTTGTCCTCATTCTTGAAGTACTCCATCAGCTTCTCAAACCGCTGTGTCTCCATGCATACCTGGAAAATAGACCACATATTCACTGTTAAAGAGAAGGGCTACAGTGTACTGATGGACAGTTGAAGAGTTGTATACACATCTAAATGTTTAAAAAAGAGAATAAAAATCAAGCCTCTCTCTGAATTCAGGGTTAAAATAAAAATAATTTTAGGTATGAGTCCATATTTAACCTGAATCATGCACAATAATTAGGGCTGGATGGAATTAAACTTTTAATCCAACTGCTGATAATTACTCAACAGTTTACCAGAAAGGGAGCAGTTTTCAGAGGGATTATTACAGTAATTAATCATTAATACACTGGTGCTTTCACACTGTTTACAGCAGACACATTGCAGTGGTCACCGATACTGGTGGTGAAACTTTAACCACACAGATGACTTTTGTTTTCCTCTTTTGGCCCGAAAAGCTTATTTGAACGGGAATTTGGGAGACAAAGTTAAAAAGAAGGGTAAGTAAAGCTACAGAGTTCAGACAAGTCATCAAGAGGGCAGGATGAGAATTTGGAAGAAAGCTATTAATCCTAAAAGCATCTCCCTGCTGTCCCCTCCCTCAGCAGCATAAAAACAACGCATTTGGAACCTTATATTTAGCAAATAGCTAAATAAAGTTGAATCTCTATTACACAAAGGAAATCATTACATGACTTTCACATCTTAAACCTTTGGAGCATTTCTCAGCCTTCATCTCATTAGACAAACTGCTTTCTGCTGAAGCCTTTTTCTCCCTCTTCTACCGCTGTCGCTGAGAGCAACACTCAATATTTCATTCAGGGGTGTAAATATTACATTAACTGCAGACGCCCCATATTTGTGGGTCGCCTGCAAAAAAAAAAAAAAAAAAAAAAACGGGGCTGCTGTTAGCGCCCACTCTCAAACCTCCCACTCCTCTTTGAAGCAGCAAAAATACATCCTCCAGACAGGCAAAGGTCAGGACAGACTGTCTGATACATCCGTCTCTTTGCTTTGTGTGAGCTTTGATGTTCCTGACAAATCCTGTTAACATGCCCATATCTGTTGTCTCTGATGGCTGCGCAGGTCATCCTGTGTTATGCAGCTAAACCGGAGTCTCTAATCTGTTGACAAAGGGCTTATACCTAGATGCTATCCCTTAGAGGCAATGGGGAATCTGCTGGAGGAGCATTCCACTGCAGCTGAGTCACTCTTTGAAACTGTACATTTGGGATGTTAAACATTTTTGTCTGTTGAGACCTTGGTTTGCCTCTCCATACCTCCTTAAAGTTGTCGAATGCAGAGAGAATGATTTCGTGGCCGCCTCTCACGAGACAAACTGCCGCCAGGAGCTCCAAAACTAGAGCTTTGGTTCTGTGAAAAAATGGGGGGGAAATAATGGTAGGAATGGTTGGTAAATGACAGGTAGCAAGACAACAGCAAGCCTACAGAGACACAGAGCAAAGGAAGTGGAAAGCAGTGCAGTGTAGGATCCCATCAAAACATCAGTGTAGAACGGATCCATCTATAATCAATAACTGTACTCTCATGTTCGGTGTACATCATAAAATTAACCAACTTAACATCAAGGATTATAGGGACATGAATTCTGGTTTAGCTGAAAGGGAAAGTTTTGTATTTCAACACCAACAAGAGCTCTGAATCTTTAGCATTGCATCAGTATTAAATTGTGAGAATAAAAGTGCCTGATTCAAGATCCTCTATGTGTGTGCATCCTGATTCCACTTTATTCTCTTAGGATTTCTCAGCCTGGATGAGACAAAAAGTGACAAGTGATGCAAAGTGGCTACACATCCACTCTAGAGGGCTTCCTTTTAACCCTTGGGCATGAAGTGAAATCACAAGGACAAGCACACACACACACGTTATATATAAATATCCATACACACACAGGAGTCCGTATGGTTGCTGTCTCAGAGAAGTGAGATGTATCAGAATTGCCTTGACCTGTCTGTCAGGATGAATAGGTCTCTAAGCAACAAAAAACGCTCACTCGGCATCAAACTGCTGGTACGCTGAGACCTATATTGTTCCTTTATGGATGTGGATGCAAGTTAGACCAAGATTTGATTTGTGTCTTGGTCATAAATCTTCAGATACTTTGTAACTTCTGGTGTGTACTTACCTTGGGCTTTTATTGTTGAGACTTAGTGCAATTTCATTCACAGCATGTGGGTGTGACATGACCATGTTGAAGCCGTACTGGATGAGGAGAGATAAATGAGAACGAAACAGACAGAGACAAAGAAGTTTGTTCATCGAGAGCCACTGAATAGCAAGAGGGTATTCCTCTGCATAATAAATTAAACATGGAGCGCTAGCAGTGGAACAAATTGAATTTGGCTTAAGTTAGATGGTTATGCCTCGGCCCAAAAGGGCACGCAGACAGTGTGGAAGCCCCCCCCAAAAATACTGTAAAAGGCTGACCTGGTAGTTCATGATAGCCCGTAGACACATGATGCAGACGTGGACGTCATCTTTCTTGCAAACCAGTCTGGAGTTTTTCAGCGTTCTCCTGATTGGCAGTGTGTTGCAGCTAGAAAATATAATAACAAAGGGAAAAAAAGGTATTTGAAAAGGAAAGCACGGTCTGTTTTTGTCAACTGAAATCTCAAGTCTGTCTCTGTGTACAGAGTGAGATAGAAACAGTATAAAAAGAGAACAGATGCTGTTTGTAAATGAGGCTTGGGAAGCCCATATCTCTTCACATAGGGAGGCTGTTAAACTGACATGCCGCTAAGCATGCACAAAGGCTATATATTCCTCGGCCACACACAAGGCCACAGGATGCTTTCTTGCAATTGTTTTAACTTAATGTCAGTCGCAAAGAAATCCCTCACGGTCAACACAATTGCGGCCGTTGATTTGCATGTGGCGCAGTAATTTTTCTGCTTTATGCGGCCAAAGAACAGACAAGGCCACGACTTCTTTTGCCGGAGCAGCAGAAGTACTTAAGATTATGGAAAGCAGTCTGAGGAAGAGTTTGTGTTCACACTGCTGTCACAAGGTTCAATTATGAAGCAGCATTCTAGCGGTGGGGGGGGGGGGCAACAACATGTCTTCAGGCTACTGTTAGACACGCTGATTCCTGTCAGCTGTCATGCCTGTGGGCGTGACTCCTCATTCAGTCACAACAAAGTTTGTGAGCATAAGTGCCAGGTTAAAAGAGGCAGCAGCTCTCACCACAAAAATAGTTAGGATCTCATCTTTAGGTTCACTCCACGTTACCGTGTGGCATTAATGCTCACACCAGAGTACATGTGACGCAGAAAAAAAACATGCATTGGAGCATTCGGACATGGTCAGAACCTAAATAAGACATACACTTGAAAATCATCTGTTGGGCCCACAAACAGATGAAGCTGACACTACAACCTGTTTTCTATTTATGATTGCATCACAGAGCAATGCTATAACTACAACTAAAGGCTAATAAATACACATTTACATGTGGCGAGCTGACTCCTAACTCCTCACACGTACCGTCTTGTTTGGCAACACTTTGGACAGTTTATTGTGCTCGGTGTCCTTCGAGGTAGCAGACGGAAAAACAGACACACATAAGACTTTGGCATTGAGGAGTTAGAAGTGCTGAGTTTTCTTCAGTAAAAAGCCTACCTAAAGAGCTTTAAAGGGAACAGGGGGTCTGTATGATGGATGTTAAGAATTACAAAGCCTGGCGTAATACCGTGGCTTACTGGCCAGAGAAGGAAAAATGCATCCAAAATACAGAAACTCCTGAAGAGCTACATATTCTTTTCTGTACTGGTCGTAAACTAACGTTAAACTTTTGCTGCTGAGGAAACTAGGCTAGCTTTTGTACAGAATGGCATTTAGGGAGCCACACAAGCTGCACACAGACACAGAGGCAGGAACAATGAGTGCAGAAAACCCCATTAGCTCCAAGGAAAGGAGAACTCAGTCACAAGCGCAGGAGGGGGGGAGACAGGCTGGCAGTACAAATAATTCACATCCCCGACACAGACAACGGTACAAATAAACTGGGCAGCGCTAGCAGGGAGGTATAAAGTACAATGAGGCACGGGGAGTGTGTATGGGAATGCATGCGTGAGTGCCTGTCCGTGGCATTATGTGTATGGCTGTGCATTAAGAGGGGCGAGGGATACAGAAAGCTGACTGCGAGCCAGCGGGGCGTAGCTGAGACCTGCCTGCTGTCGAAGAGTGGCAGACAAAAGAGTAGATGACTACGGATGAAGACCAGGACAAAACAGAAAAGACAGTCAACCATGCTGTAGACATTCTGACCATTTACAAATGCTGGACATGCCAAAGAGCAATGGCAGTAGTAAAGCAATGGCAGTAATAACATCATCATTACACGTCCGGCAGGTGTTTGAGTCTCCACAAATATGTATTGGAAGCTCTATTAGAGAGGAGATTTTAGACTACATCTTGATAGTTTACAAAAGCATGAAAACACCACTTTCTGTTAAAGCAAAGTTTCTCGTAGTGCAGAGCTGGCTGGAGAATATTGGACTTTTATTCTACAAACAACAAGAAAGAAACATTAATTCAATTCATCTGTGACGCAAAGGCCTCCTGTTAAGATTGAATGTGCTTCACTGACTCTATAATGTTAAACCTTTCTAACTAAAGACCTATAGGCAACAGAGGATGAAAAACGCAGTCACAGGAAGGATTAGAATATAATGCATAAAAGAAATAGATTTGTGCTTGAGAGCATATATTACCAGGCTTATGAGTAAGCTGCTGTGCCATCTTACTGACATATGATTTTGTATTACAAGGAATAGCTTGATTCTTATAAATACTAAAGGGAAAAAAATATATATAAAAAGCCATTAAAAAGTTGTCTCTGTTTGTCACATGAAATGTTGTCAGTCATGTGTCATGATCTTGAGTTTGGAGAGCCAAAAATATCCAGAAAAAAAGTACCCCCCCCCATGTGTCTTAAGCCATTTAAAGTCTTACAGACCTCATGACTCAAACAACAAAGGGGCAGCTGAGGCGTCATATGAAATGTGTGACTTCTTAAAATAATCACACACTTTCAGTCAAACGCAAAGAAAAAAAAAAAATCAATGGTGGGGGTGTTAACTGCAAAAAGTAACAAACTGAACAAGTAAGCAAAGCTCACTGTTCAGAGTTTTGAGCAGCGTGTGCGTGTGGTCAGCGTACCGTATCATGGTATGTCGCCCGACTCGGGTGATGCCGTTCCCAGTGATGGGGGACGGCATGGTGCTTCCTCTGTGCAGGTCCTCTATGGAGCGGCTCCACGCCTTAGACTTGTCCATTGGAGCCTCTGTGCTGTTGTCCACACATTCGCCATCATAACTACAGAAGCGGGGAAACACAAAGCAAGCTGCCATCATGATGCACATAGACGTTTTTCCCCATCTAGCTTGGTTTTTCCCCCGGTCGAGGCTAATATCAATTCAAATCTCACACCACACTTTGGACATCATTTCAAGTAAAATCATGTCATGTTGCTAATTATATCCAAAAGTGTGTTCACTTCATTTAGTCCCAGCAAGTGGTTTCATGAATCAAAAGCATCATCATAAAACCATATTTAGATTTTTTTTTTTTTAATGATCAAAACATATATTTAAAAAAAATGCTCTTTATCTTTATTTAATTAATAATGTTACTGAAACTAAAAATGGATGTATTTTAAAGCTAATCTTTAATCCTACAGGGTAAACCTTTCAGTCGACACTGGACTTAATGACATAACTGAATAGATAGGATGACTTTAACACAGCAGTTAGCTCCCAAATGTCAAACTCAATCCTTCAGAGTGGTATTTTACATCCTAAAAATGGACAGCATCGTGGCTGAGACCAGTTTCTCTTCACAGCTAAAAAATATAGGCACGAAGAGCAGGAAACAAAACTGGAGCTTGTTGCCATTGGCGGCCGCTAAGACACATTATCCATTCCAGCTTTACGATGGCCTCTTCCACAACTTCTCTGAGCTCCCTCAGTGCTGTGCAAACATATTTTTACTGCTAACCATTCATAATGTGGACGGACGATAATGACATATGGTGAAGTGGAGGGGTGAATTAAAATGTAAGGAAGAGGTTCTTTGGCCCTGAGATGGGCCACTGTGAGTGACTAATAATCACACAGTCGGTTCCTGAATAGAGGCAGACTGGTGGTATGCGCGGAGCCATGTGTGTCAGCACTGGGCTCTGAGTGACTCAGTGTTTCTGACAACCGGGCAGCAGTGACGGTGGTGCTGGCGCTGTGTGGCCAGCCGTCAGCCGCCGTACAGAGCGGTGCTGTTGTGGAGCGCGTCAGCTCGAACGTGACAGAGAGCCAACAGATAGACGCATGCAAGACACTTACGTGACGGCATACTGTGCAAAGGAAAGATACTCCACCAGCACATCCAGGCCTTTGTTCTCTTCATTTAAGAACTCTCTCACCCAGCTAAGGAGGAAAGAAAGACACGGTTAGCTGCACAAACGTTATCAGGACACCAAGTCCAGACATATTTTTATATACATCTACAGAGCAGTTCCATTTATTTATCAGGCAAAGAAAAATAGGACTCCTGAAACACACAGTTGGCCATCAGGATTTCTTTTTAGATTTCCTCTTTGTGAAAAACAACAATCTGTAACAATCAGTTTGAGACACTTTCAATATTCTTGGCTCCGGAGAACCAAGTTGTCGTGTATACAACTGTTTATGAAGCAGAGGCATCCAATACACGCCTAAGTGGCCTCTCAAATTAGGTTTTCCCTATTTCCGTTTCCACGTTCTAGCAAGAACAAACCCAGATGCTTCATATTGCCGTTTCCTTTTTTATCGTTGCGATTGACACTCGACATACCCGATTGCTCAGTGGCACAAAAATAACGACATGCATGTAACACTGATGTTTGACGTGTTTTACGAGGGGAAGTGCTGCTCCGTTAGCCCACATTGTAATCATTACCACATGATTCCAATGACAATCCGGCCGTTCATGACGTGCTGGGGACAACGGTGCGACATGTCAGAAACAAACTGGCCTGCCAGGACCGGAGGTCAGTATCAGTTGTGTCCTCACAGGAACACACTGCTTTTACAGAGCCTGCAGCGTTGGTAACAGGAGGTGCCTCACCTCTCAAAAAGTAGCAGTAATCGTTCCCTGGCTGAGTGGGGGACTTTGTGAAACTTGCTATCAGCAGCCCAGCCCCCCCGCCCCGCCTTTTCAGCAATGCATCCTCGTTTATCTAGATAGCCCTTGATTACTCCTATATAAATACACACACAGTGCAGTTTACAAATGCCGGGCTTTAAATAAGAGCAAATCCTCGTAAACGAAGATTCAACTGCTCGGCCAGGCAGACCTCGTCTCCGGCCCGAGTTTGTTTTGGTTTGAAGTGCCGAATCTGATCAGTGTGTAAACAGTGTGTGGGAGTGTGAGAAATGGTGTTGTCAGACGCATGAGGAAATGTGTGTGAGCACCGGTGAAATGGACAAATTCAGGGAAACTAATGTGTGTGTGGGCGGAAAGAAGAAAAAAAGAAACAGAGGGATAAGAAGACATAGCTCAGATTGTGAGTATTTTCTCTGCTGCATTAGTCTCTGGTCAGCAGATGCTCTCATGGTTGCCTCCTCCTATCCTGTCAGAATCTCCACATCTCCTGTGACCGCCCACCTGCGACAACTCGGCTCATTTTCATTTGCACTATCATCACATACTTCCCGTTTTACATTGTATTTCCGGCACATTTCTACATTTATAATGAGAACATTTAAAACAGACAGACACACCAAATGCCAGAGCTACTCTCCTCACACGAATCCCCTTTTTCTTAACACTACCATCTTTCCAAACTGAACTTTATTTAAACAAAACCGTGTTTTGATGTATTGTTTCCATTATCCATGGTCGTGTCGGACATATAAATAAATCACATTTTGTGGTCTTATGTCAAAGGTCAACAAGGTCCAGGCGTGGTATGTCAAAAACCAGCAAATATGCCCTAAAGCTTCTCTTTCTTTTCAAAGATTTGTTTCCCCTTTTTAAAAACATTGCAGCTGCAGCCAATGTGATGCCTTTTTGTTTTTGAGACAGATATTGATCTGTTCTCAAGGCTAACTGTTTCACACTGACTCAGAATCAGTTGCCACAGGTTCAGGCTCGTTATCTCCAAATACCTGACATTGCAAAGGAATACATCAGTGTTTCATCAGTTGTGAAATCACGCTCTTCAGCAATATCCTTATTAATATCCACTGACAACGGAAGACTGGAACACTGGAGCCAAGCAGCCTCGCTACAGTTAGGGGAAAAAATCTGTTTTCCCTCCAGAGGCTGTTCATGTGTCAGCTGGTTCAAACAATCCACTGATTCATCTTTTTTTTGTCTCCACATGGTCTTTGGTGTAATATTAGGTCAGAGCACATATTTGAATGGGGGATGGTGGCGTTCCGTGTTAACGTCTACACCTCCGGCCTTCTGGAATCTCTTTAAATCTGATAACATCACATTCGGTAAATGTGACGTCGCACAGGCTACACACACCCCCGTCACCACTCACCCTATATGATTGGTCCGTAATGAAATTTCCAGTTCTCTTAAGACTTGGGTGGACTCCTGTACCCTTCGTCTGAATTTCTGAAAAAAAGAAAAGGAAAAAAAGAAAGCAGGGAGAGTTATATTTCAACATTCCCCAGTAAATCAACACGCAAAGGCTGAGAGTTGAGAGATGTTTTGGCTAGAGAGAACTTTCTAGGATGGAAATGTCAGAAGAACAAGACGAATAGGGAAGAGGTAGCCACGGTGGCATTTAGATGAGAAGGCGAGCAGGGGAGCACGGTACGCAGTGATTGGGGAAATGAAATGATAAACGATTGCACTAAATTGTTCTCCAGACTTTCAGATAAGCCTTTTACAGAAGAGTAACCATTAACTAGGCTACAACACCGGCTGTGAAAATAAGCTTTAACAGCATGTTTGAAGTGTTGTGACTATCAAGTAATGAGGCCGACTGTTTATTTGATGCCTGCAACCTTGTGAGTTAATTCTTCAAATAGCCGTAATTCCTCCTGGAAGAGGTATGATAAAAATCAGGACACCAAGCAGCTACGTAAACACACAGATAAATTATCAGCTGAGTTACAGTTGCTGCAGCTATAGGAAAAAAAACTCCCGAGTGGCGCATAGGAAGGTGTGAGCCCATGAGCTAAACAAAACTGAAAATAACAGAACGGAGAAAAGCGAGCGCTTTCTTCTTTGCTTTAATCCCGACCAGGACTTCTCGGCAAAAGGGAAAACAAAAAGGCCCCTCACGCTGTTATCCGACTGAAAGAACAAAGCAAGGCAAGTGAATGACCAGTGGTGATCAAACAGACTCCCAGCATGAGGGACGGGGGAATCCCTGATGAGAGGGAGGGAAAGCGTTGCATCAGAGGAGCCGAGAAGGAGGAAAGAAGAAAATAGAATAATAATAACATCACCAACTATCAAAGCATCCCTTCAGTGGGGTTGACATGGTACACATTTGTGAGCTAAATTTGCTCCTGATATCTGCATCCTCTAAACAAAAATCTAAAAAAGCCAAATGAGAGAAGTTATAGAAAAATAAACAAAAATATATATACATTTCCTTTGGGAGCATTGCTTGTTTTAATCATACAATTGACAATGTCTTGAATAATTAAATCTTTAATGCGATAAGACTAAATTGATGAGAAGTGATGAAAAGAGAGGATAATTGAAAAGAGAATAGAAAACACTGGAAAAGGACAGATGAGAAGAGAGTTTCCATGATGTGTTTCAATCAGGGAGGAAACAGAGCTCAGCCTATTATTAACATCCACAGAGAAGAGCAATGTTCCCATAGCTTGTGCTCTCTAGTGTATGTCTCTGAGCTTGGGCGGTGTGTGTTTGGAACATGAGGAGATGAGAAACAGAGTGTTTTTATTAGGGAGGAGTCATTTGTGTGCCTGTGTGGAAAGCAGAGCATATTTTGGGGTACTGCGCAGGCTCCCAGAGCCCCCCTGAAAAAGAAAAAAAAAAAAACGCCCCACACTCCACACTTTAAGTGCTACCAGCTGCATCACAGAGCAGGAAGAGAGAGGAGCTGACAGTGGGGAGAGAGGGTAAAGAAGGCATGAGGAGAAAGAAAAAAAGAGGAGGGAGCAGTGAAAGGGGAGAGCAGAAGAGAGGAGGCTACATTGAGAATATAGAGGAGGAGGGGAACCGAGGTTTGGGGAAGTGTGAGCTCAGGAGGGGTCATCCTGGAAACAAATCAACGGCTGATACATTCTTGGGGACTAGTTGGACCGGAGCTCTTCCTCCTTGGCTGCCTATTGGCTGGGAGCTGCTCAGAGGAATGCACCGGAGCCTGCCTATGGAAAGCAGAGGCAATGACCTCCAGCTCTCTCACAGTGGCACAAAGTGGCAATTGTTTGAGTTTGAAGAAAAAGGGGGATGGAGCAGGAATGTAGAAAGAAGCCCATAACTCTTTCTTTTCCTCCATGCTCTGTTGTGCTTCTTTTTTTGTCTCTCTGTCCATCTCTCTCTCCCCCCCTCTTTATTATTCTGTATCTCTCCTTCCCTTCTTTGACATTGTCTCACTTTGCTCCTTCAGTCAATTCCTATGTGCCCCCAAGTTTTCATTCAAGGCTAAGAGACAGCACAGGAGTAAATTCCGGCAGATTACTCGCTTTAAAGACTGACATGGAAATGAAGGGAAGTGTTGAACCTGTCTGTTAGTGAGAGTGTAGATGGACAAAGCAAGGGAGACCTTGAAAAATGAAAGTTGGAGAAAAGGGAGGATCAGCTCAGCTCTGCGCACATAACCGAGTTAAACTGGATCAGATCCAGGGGCGATGTTGAATGTTTACGCCGAGGAACCTTTGAAACGATCACCACCTCCTTCACATAGTAGCTTCACAACTCAAAGAATACACTGAAACACTTCTGAGTTTCAAGAGGACTAAATGTATGTTTGGCCGCTATTGTAATCAAAGGTCAAAAGCTTAGCTTAGCTTTATTTCAAAGTCTTCAGCTTATCCATACTTTACACTTCAGTTTTACTCCAGATTTAAGTAAGTTTTTAAAGTGCTTGTTGACGGATTATATACGTTTTTTTTCTATACCTTTGGGTCAATTATGGTTGGTCGTCTCTATCCTTTATACTGAGCAATGTTTAAGGTGTAAGCTTAGCTAATATCAAAGGCTTAATACTTAAACCCTAACACAAAAAAGCACAAAAAATGTACATCAACCGGTTAGTAAATCCATGACAGGTCACTAAACTCTTACAAAGATTGCACATAAAAATAAAAAAAACATGATATCATATCATTCATTATCATTATATTATGTCATATTATATTATAGGTGACATACAGAGACATACTGGCTGTCAACAGGCCTGCATCTCATTAACAGCCACCATTTTACACTACTATGTCTCCTGTATCTGCTTTAATAAGACAAAGTCTCTTCTTTCTTCCTGTGTTTATCACATTCTCACAAATGTGTCATTTCTCAAGCATGCCTTCAGTTGACTCAGAGACAGGTGTTTGTCTCACAAGCAGGCCAGGTAGATTTTATCAACACCATCTGACATTTTAAAAATATGTTTATTTGATCCAATTCTCTCATAATCTAGCACTACTAACACTATGTACATTTCAGCTAACTGTGTCCAGGGGGAAAAAACCTGAAGATAAATATTTTTTTCTATAATATGATCTTGTTGCCCTTCATAAAACTACTACTTACTGGCAAGACTCCACAATTTTCCTCTGAACAAGGTCGCTCCTAAACCTCAGTAATTCATGCCGCACCATGCTAATACTAGTCTTTTTTATCATTAAAACACAACTCTTCATCTTCTCACCATAGTCATTACAGCTTTAGTTTGTTCATGCAGCTCACAGTGGCTCATTGCAGTTGAAAGTTTACAGCCAAGTCAGAGCAAATTGAATTATTCAGCGATTTGTTGTAATTCTGGCAGAGTCTGTTGGTTAATTTGTTTATCACAGAGGCCGGTCTCCCAGTATTCCCCCCACTGCTCACACATCGTGGCCAAAAAGACTTGATTTTGGCAAAGCCCGGGCCTGGCTGACACTTGTCTTTATGGAGACTTCTCCTCCTACTCCATTCTGCTCCCTCCCAAGAGGCCAAGAAAAACAGAATTGGCTGTTAAGATAACATAAGGTAATTTTTTTATTATATAGAAAAGACATGGCTGATATTTTCCTGTTAGCTCTCGCTATCTTACAAGGAAATTTCAGTGAAAATCTAACTCTCACAGTCTGCCCTATTTTTTTCTTTTAAGAAACCCTTTTAGTACATTTATTTTCCATCATCACAGACCCGAATCTGAGTAATCTAGTCTGAGGACTGCCTTTTTTCTCATTTAAAGGCTGAGCCCAGTTTGACATAACCGTTGAAAATGCTTGTCTACTTGTTCTGATATTTTGCTGATACTTAGATATACAAACTGAGGACTTCCTTCGTCGGGCCTTAATCTTGTGCCAACTTTCAACTAGTCAACATTTGATCAACATGGAGCATCATTTTAAGAGCCTAAGTGTTTTTAGCTTTTTAAAGGACTTCATATCCGCATTGAAAAGGTCCTTCTGAAGGGCGCATACTGCCACCTTCAACACTGACAACGGAGTGACTTTGCTCGACAAATAGATTTTACTCCAGCACTTGTATAATTCACAGTAGTCCAATTTAAAAGGTTTAAGCGAGCTATATCTGTAGCTCAGCTTAGCTGCAAATGTAAATGCAAAGACTATTTTGTAACTTTAGTTCCCAAGCTGTCTCCTCCAGAAACCCTGCATGCAATCTCAGCTATGGAAATATCCTGGAAAGAGCCAGTGGGTCAGAGGCGAAGGAAAAGCTGTCACTCTGAAACAGCCTGGTCACTGGAACAGGATAGCCAGCAGCACAGGGGGCTCACCTTTCTTGTGACTGCTGGGTCGAGATAACTCCTCAGCTTTTGGAGGTACGTGTGAGGTGGGTTTTTCACTTGGAATCGCTCCTGTCAAAAAAAAGAAAAGAAAAAAAACAAAAAGCAGCATTAAGGAAATGAGATGAACGACAGAGTGTTTTTACATTTTAAACTTGGGTCTGTGAAACTTTGAATTTAGTAACAGTTGCTTACAGTTCTGCTGCTTCTTTTTTATCAGTTTGTTAATTCAGATCAAAACATAAACTAATGCATAGAAAGTTAGACAGTTCATTAGTGATCCTTCAATGAATGGAAGCAGATCTAATTATCTCACATTTTAAGTGGGAAAATATTTTTAACAAAAATTCAAAACGCATTCAAAACTTTTTTAGATCTCCATGTAAAGCCACCTCTGATAAAAGGGAGCCTCATGTACAATCACGATCTGGATAATGAGGATTTTCTGGGCGGTATTCTGGGGGATTAACATCAAAACATATTTGTTTAAGGAAGAACTCTGTAGTGTGATGACAACCGACATTCTGCATGCGAGATAAAAGCACTACATGGAGTCTGGGGCCAGTCTTATGAGGATGTCCGTGTACATTTCCCAAGTTCATCCAGCAACAGGTTTAAGGTCACACCACTGTGCCCTAAATATAAATACAGGAGATTAGTGCAGGATTTGGATCAGTGTGTTGAGCGGGAAGCAGTGCTTAGATGGGGCTGAGCCCCACAGCACAACAGCGTGAATGGTTTCATTTAGTGGCCACCACATATCAGAGGATGACTCTTCAGGGTATTTGGGGAGGAAATGTGATCTTCAACCGGTGTGGGACAGGATGAAAAACAGCTATTCTTAATAAACAGACTAAGCTTCTTTTCTGTTGGGGTTACCAGTTGCGAACAACATTCAATCATCTGCTTTTTACCAAAAGCCAGAGGGAAAAGAAAGCTGTGCATTAAAATATACAGACAAAAGTTCAAATGTCTGCTGAGAAACACATCATCACACCTTTACTGAGACGGAGGACAGAACTTCTCTGTAATTACAGTTTTGTTTAAAGGCAAAAATTCAGCAAAAGTTCATATTCAAGACCTTTGTATATATTTTTTTATCTTTGAGTCAAGACATATAAAAGTACCTGATAATCTCTAACAAAAAAGTCAATTCAGTCATCTGCATCCTGTAGGTAGCTTTATTGTGGATTGCATACTTTAAACTCCATACACATACTGAGATGAGATCAGCCACTTCGCATTTATCCCTGCACAAGCAGCCAGCCTTACAAAAAAACAGGAAAGATGAGAGCGGCGTCAGGAAAGGGAGTCGCTCTCTGCCGATAACAGCCAGCGGACAAGACAGCTCAGCCCCACTTCGGCATCTCACTGCTCAGAAATCTTCAGGGAGTGTGCAAAATAATAAATAAATTGGCAGGTGCTGTACATCTTCTGTTGCGTGTAAAGAAATGTGAGGAATGCAAATCGGTTGGAAGCCCACAATTACACAGACTACATTACAGAGATCGCACATCTGGCTCTGAAGAGTGCGTATAAATAGGCTCCGAAGAACGTTGTAGTTTGTCTGAACAGCAGGTGGAAAGAAACCTGAAAGCTAAGCTACGCGGCGCCTGAGAAGTTGAAGATTCTGTCTAAACGAAAGAAGCTAAACAGCAGTTTGCAAGTCATAGTAAACAAAAGTTAGGACTAACTTCTACTCCATAATGTGTGTGCTTATACAGTACGTGGCAAGGCTTTGTTGCTGGAAAAGAGGCCATGGGCTCTTGTAGCTCTTTCTGCATAAAAGGGGTATTTGAAGGGGTACTGTGTTCGTTTCAGTTTTTACAAATTAGGAAACTATGTTTGGCATTTCATCCTCTGGAAGCTTTTCAAAAGGGATACAACTGCATCTTATATTACAAGATTGACTGCATGGAGCATTGAGCTGTCCTTGTCCAAACTACAATGCCAATTAACAGCAACTTTAGCACACACATACGCTGTGAGCATCAGCTCATCAACAAAAGACGCACAATCTGTAAGGGTTCCCCTTCTCCCTTTAAAAATGGAAGACTTAAGAAGTGTGAATTACTGGACAACTATTTGGAAATTGCTTCAGAGACGCTGGTGGGGGGGGAAAAAATCCCCTTCAAGCCACCTTTGAGTTTCATGCCAAGACGATCTCTTCTTGCTGATCAGCAGCCTGACGGGCTGGCTTTGGCACGGCTCCCTTCAGGGTCAGTGGCTATCAATACAGTTGGAGTGGGTGGTGTTCTTGATCTAGTTTCTGCTTTTCAACACTGCCCAAGGGGGCAGAACAACTCTGGCAGAGGGGTTGTGGGCAGAGTGGAGCTCTCAGACCACAGCTCGCTGCACAACATGCACCCTCTGTTATTACCTGACGGCGATACCAGTGACGGGCTCTGCCTGCTGTGCCACTTGGTGAGGAAAGACAAGGCGGCATGTAACGATGGGGAAAAGCTTAAAAGGCGTTGCAACAGAACAGGGAACATGAAAGTGTTCATAACACCCTGTGGAGCAGATGTTACCCACACCAAGATACCCTGCCCCTGACTATTTAACAGCCATGATGAGTGACACCTGCAGGACGCCCACCTGATCGCAGATTAGTTCCCATTTCTTCTCGTTGTCATACTGCCGCAACAGTCGTGCTTTATCCGGAGGAAGATTCATTGAGCTCTGAAAGAGAAGAAAGGGTGAGAGTTAATAAGCTGTGATGTGTCATAGAGGAAAACGCATGAAGGGAAGAGCATCTAAAAAGGTCTGCAGCTGTTGTGACTTTTTCCTTCATCCAGTCACGTTCCATCTTTTTCCTGCTGCTGATACCAGGTCCTGACATGCAGTGTCTGTATGAGCATCCAGAGCACCAGCACAGGCTGCGGGTCAGAGTAGAGTGCTCTAACCCACTGACCCAACACTGTGCTGGGGACATACCACCAACAATAGCTGCTCTCAGTTGCCCCAAACAGCAACGTCAACTCTTGAAACCCTGTTTCAAGCCGTAGCTGACTTTCAGACATGTTTTCCCTCTACTGTCAATGTTTGACGACTTTAAGGGCCTAAACACATTCCACGTTGTAGTAAAAGTGTTCGCACATTGTCCAGGTTAAACGACTGTGCCTGACAGATCAACAGCAAATAAGCCTCATCGGCAGCCAACCGAAATTCAAATCAAGGATATCTGGCCCACAGCTTCCTGCTCCACAAGTATTTGTTTAGATGCAAATACATTTACAAAGACCATTAAAAGGAGCTTAATTCTGCAGAATGACTGAGTGTCTCCAAAGCGCAGACGGAGTTTTATGCTCTCTTTATACTCAAATGCAATCAAGGCAGGCCCGAGCACGACTGGTCGATATCACTGCGGACAAATAATGATAATCATGCCTGGAGACTGTTTTGATAATCACAAGCAATCTAAATAATCATTTAAAGTAAATTAAATCTGAATATAAAAGTCTTAATGCACCATTATTAATCACAGAGGTCTTTACTTTCCTTATTGAAAAGTCTTTGAAAACTGACAAATGTTTTATTTTTGCTCCCTTAGATAAAGTTGACTCGATGGGAGACTGATGCTTTAGGCCTCTGTAATGATTCAGCCCTGCCACTGTACTCCACAGGACATCTACACTCTGCCAAGTTTCCTGAAACACAGCGAGAGTTGGAAGGTGGAGTAAGCTCGAACTTAAAAAAGGAAGAACTCATTAATCGGATTTGGTCGAGAACACAGAGAAGAAAAAAGTCTAAGAAAGACACCATCCGGCTCTGCGGAGTGAAGTTCAAATGAACCGCACAACAAGCCCTGTTGAGTGTTAACAGAGATCTGGAAATGTAGTGCAAAGCTCCATCCCGCAATACTGACATAAAAACAACCAAACACCAAAACCCATTAAGCTGTAGTTAAGATCATTCAACGAGATCTAAATTTGCCTCCCTGACTATATTTTAAAAATTAGTTATGGAATTAACTGTCAAGCTTTCGACTACTGAAATAGCTACAGAACATCATGCCCCCTATTTCCCCCAGTCCCACTTGTGTAGAAGAGAAACAGATCAAATCTGGAAAAAGGAGGTTTTTCTTTCAATAGCTTTGTGCTTTTTTTTTACCTGAAACCTGAAAATAAACCAACCCTTTGAATTGACATGAAGAAAATGTTCTGTGGCAATGATGTTTCAGTGAGTGATTCCCAGTTAATAAAGAGCTTTTCCAGCTAATCGAATGGAACCAGTACGCCAGTCAAACTCCCATTTAAATTAAATTAAATGCACTCATTCTAAACGTATAACTAAACTTCTGCTTCCTGCTTTCCTTTACCGGCATCAGTTTTATGTGTGTGAAGCCCCCACAGGTGTCCAGCAGGGTCCAGACTGATCCATCAACCCATTAAGCGATTCAGAAAAGCTTCACGCACTCTGGACAAAGGGCTAAGAAAAAAGTAGACCCGGCCAAGGACTGACTAAACAAAAGATAAATATTAAAGACGTTTGTGGATAAAACATTACCAAACCATTTTGTGTGAAGGTTTTCCGCTGCCAAGAGATAGGCGGCGGTGAACTGGAAAATATGGCCACTTTGAACTGCTTACTGCAGCATTATTTTCTCCTCCATGGCCTGGATCATCTAGCAGACTGTTTTCATCCCTCACCCCCACTTTTCCAGTGGTGGATTTTCCAGAGGAGCTCAGAGGGGGAGCGAGAGTAAGATGGATGAGGAATATCCTGGGATCAGACCCATTTTTAAGAGCAAGTTACACAAAGAGGGAGTCAGAGTCTGACTTGGTAGTTTGATCAAGAACCTGCTTTTGAGCCCCATTTTACTGTTTAAAACGCTGGAGATTAATGTTCTATTCTTCAGTGTTGTATATTATAACATGGCAAGGTTATTGATCTGTGCGACCATTGTAATTTGAAAGGGGGCATTTGTAAGAGAAAATCAATTAAAAGAGCTGCAGAGGGACATACTTCTGTATCTTAGAAACAGCTACGGTGAGAAGATTACACACAAGCATCAGGAACGTCTTAACTACGTTCATATAAATACCATGAAGGCAAAAACATTTGTAGACTTTTCAGGTTCATTCTATTACAGTAGGTCCTGTCAAACAACTGAGCTGTTCTCTTCTTCTGAAGTGCCACTAAACTAACTGTCTGAAATAAAATCGAGTTATTGAGGTGCGTTTGTTTTCATGGGTGGGGGTCAATAAAGTAGAATAGTCTGGGTCGGGTAAAAAACAAAAAACAGGGTTTATAATGCCACACAGGCTTCCCAAGAGAGAGAGAGAAAAATAAAAAAAGATCGACCAGGAAATGGAATTAGTATTCAGCAGGGGCTGCAAGCCGAGCCATCACTGCTGTGCTCGCTGCAAGGAACTGCGAGTCAGAGGGGCTCCATTGACTCAGTCTGGCTGCTAACCAGATGATTAGATTTTCCTTCTTTACATGTTAAAATAGAACTTGACACCTGAGTAGATGTGCACATTAGGTGACATGAAACCATTAGCAATTTCATTAGCAACCTCAAACAACACCAGTGTTAACTGTCCTGTTTTGTGTAGACTTCTACCTTGTTTTGTTGTCGTTTTGTTTTGATGTAAGAGAATGACTGGCCTCTCTGGTTTTGTAGAGTCACTGTGGGTGCCCCGAGCTGTGGGCTTCCTGCTTGGTGATGCTCCAACTAAAGCAAAGTGCCACGTCTACCAACCTATTTCATCCCAATGCTAATGAGCTGTGACAGCCACAGAGCTCGCCAGGGTCGGGTTACCCCATGCCTACAACGGCACTGTCCGCATCTGTGCCACGTACAGGAGGCTGCTGGGGAGAGACGGCAGATCACCTGATGGCAGACCCCCCCACTGCACACAAAACCAAAACGGACTCACTATCATACAAAGCAGAAATTAATCTTATACAAGAGCCTTAATCCAGAAACACCCTGTCCCAAACAGAAGTCAAAACAATCTGTGAAAGGTAAACAAACTTAGAAAGGACTCAAGCTTAGTTAATTTAAAGCCAAATTCAATAAAAAAAAATATAGAAAAGGGAAAAAAAGATCACAAAGAATGTATTAGTTCTGAGAAAGTAGATCCTCATACTGGATTTTATGCCACTAATGCATCCACAACCACAGAAACAGGGGTCACATAAAAAAATAAATTAGATAAAGTTTTGCTTAAGCTATTTATGGGTTCCACTGAGTCTTGGAAACAGGGCTGTAAACTGGTGACACGTGGATGAAGCCAGTTTGGGCTTTCGAATTTTTATGCCGATTTTTATGCATTTTAAAAATCAAAGACAGACAACATGTGGTGTGAGAGCATCACCAGCTGCTATCCACCGTTATGTCACCTGCTAGGGGCTTTTTTCAAGTCAAGCTAGATTTACGATTTGGGGTGGCTGGTGCACTTCCTAGTGTGCAGAGCTGCACTGCAGCCCGATTACATGTGTCCACATCTGTACCGCCTCCGAGTGTCTTGTTTTTTTTATTCGACCTCGATTAAATACAGCGGCTACGGCTAAGGATGCTGTGTGTTTGACTTCTGTATTTCATTAATCACCAACGGCCCACATTGAGCCTAACAACACCACGAGGGCCACTCCACACTTTGCCAGTCAGAGAGGAACACGTGTAATTAAACTGCTCTGCGGCAATGTTTAACTCGCATCAGCTCCAGCGTTTCATTAATATAGAACCTATTAATGCCCACGTGTCCTCTCATTAGCCGACTTGAGTCATAAAAGGGGTAAAAATAGACTGCCTGAAGGTCCAGCCGCCCACTACCAGCCTGGGGGGGTGTGCAGCCCAGGGACGCGGCCTTGGCAGCACAGCTGGCCGGGAAAGCAAACACATCCCGTATCAAGGGCCCGCTTGGCTGGAAAACGCCGGGAAAAGATGCAAACCGTGTTGACGAAACTGCAAAGCAAGCTGCTTGAAAAGGGAGTGGAGCAACAATTAAATACTGGGGAGCATGGCTGCAAACCACAGCTGCAGCTCAGCGAAAGCGCGCGCGCCTTCCAAGTCGATCGTCATGTTTTCGAATAACTTGGGTCGTCTTTTATGGTGACTGATGTCTGCAATCACCAACACAAAAGCGCAGCGCCGGGGACTCAGCTGGTGGTGAGGACAGCCATCAGAGTGTGTGCAACACCCTCCAAATAAACGTCTTCAAAACAATAACTGTGCGTCAATTAAAAATCCTCAGCTTGCTTTCTGAATTAGCACTTGGCTTTTGAGGAATGCAAGTTTTCTTTGATCTCCTGCATAAAAGAAATCCTCACGGACCATAAGCAAGCAGAAGAACTAAATATAACCAGATTGGTAAAGGAACACTTGGCCACAGCAAAACATTCTTTTAACAGGCTGATGCTTGACAGAGTTCCCCCCCCTTTAACGATAATATTTCACAAGGCAAAAGTAACAAACTGGAAAAAAAAGAGCACAAAGCTGCCCCTCACAGCCATCCAGCTTCCTCTGAGTATTTTCTGTTACTTTCTTTTGGGACTTCCATCTGCTCAGAGCTTGAGGTACAGCCACCCTCTCCTCTCTCTGGTCTTTGTCTCTGCCAATGCAAAACAATCAGAATGAACTCCTGCCAACGGATCCCGCCCCCGGGGCCTTTTGCAGACTTTGCAGGCAAAAACGACACAACCCTCCTCTGCCCCTTCCATCACTCAAAGCA